CACACACACACACACACACACACACACACACACACACACACAGACCCCTGCCTTGCCTTCGGGCAATTCTTTCCACATCAGCTAGGGTGCTTTTCCCGAAACCCAGAGGTTAATGTCAAATGAGCTAAGTGATGTTGTTAAGACGCTGCAGGAGTTGCAGTCAACAATTACAGTAGAAGGAGAAATGCCAAGGTCATCAGTGGCTCAGAAAAGTACAAACAGTACAGGCTGCCGAAAATAAGTAACAACCGACCCTTCTCACTGAGGACAAAGGGAGAGAAAAATACCCAGAGATCAAACTCCGCATCACAGCTGTAGCTGCTGACCTTCTGAAGCTGTCTCAAGACTCTCTTACTTTCTCTGGATTTGCTACAGTATGAACTTCATTTTCAATCTGACCAAACAGTCACTTATTTAGGAGAAGTTTTCCTCATAATTTCCCAAAACTTCAGTTTCTATAAAATCTGTATTACTAGTTACTCTGGCTTTCCTTTTTGAAACAGAAACTTTTCTTCTCCCTATAGGTTCTTATCTCACTCCAACGCCCTGGAAAGGGCTGCAGCTTCCATCAGAGGACCGTGGACAGAGTGTTGCTCTCTCCCCAATTAGGAATGGTATTCCCAGGAAAACTCAGGTTGGACTGCTCAGGGAGTCAGGCCCCTGTGGCTGCAGGCTTGCAAGGGCGGAACTCTGGAGCTGCCCATCGGTCCTGACTGGGTCTCTAAGTCTCCATGGAGGACTGCAGCCCGCCTAGCAACTGGCATCTCTAACTAGAAAGCGACAGAGACAGGGCCTCTGAATGTGTCTAAAGCTTTGTCCTATGAGTAGGAAAACAGAGAAGACCTGCCTCCTTTACCACAGTGCAGTGAACAGGAAGGCAGAAGCAGTCTCGCAGTGGGGGTCAGCCCTGCACCTGCTGAAAGAGACAGGTGAGCTCCTGGGCACCTCCATTCTGTGCACATTTGATTGACACCTGCCAGTCAAACCTCCAGTATTTGGACTCTACTCATTGTGTTTTCACATCGCTGTCTTTCATGAGGCAAGTTTCTAGGTGGTTTTTCTTTCTTTCAGTGAAGAATTTTATATGTTTGCCACAACTCTTTAGATGAAGCAGATTTCAGTTTGTTTGACTTTTATATGCACTTATTTTTATGCTGAGTTTATTCCTGTATCATAAGTTTTGTTTCTTCAGTTTCTGGGATTGAGGTACCTTTTTGTTTTGTGCAACCTCCTCTTCTGGCTTTGGAACAACTTGTTCCTTTCCAGTGAGGATCATTTCCTTGTGGCGGGGGAGCTCCTGTATGGGTTGATCCGGCCACAAGCTCTGTAAGTTCGTTGGCGCATCTCAGATGCTGTGTTCACTGGCTGTCTTCAATGACTAGAAAAGCTTCATCTAAACCCAAGTTCATCTAAACCCAAGTTCAGTGTCACTCGCTGCATTTTTAAGCATGTTCTGCAAAACTTCAGCACTCTTTTTGGCCACCGGTCCTGTGTCCAGCCCCACTGTTTGGCCTTGGGTGTACCTACCAAACTCCACCATTATACCTCCGGAACAGCACATGTGGTTTCTTTAAAGTGACATCGTTTGGGCATTTGGTGGCTTTCTCAAGATGCATACCCTTAGTAGCCTAGGCAGTTTCACACATGTTCTTAAAGTGAATATGAAGATTTGAACCTCTTTTTTTTTTCCTTCACCAGAGACAGGGTTTCTCTGTGTAGCTTTGCGCCTTTCCTGGAACTCACTTTGCAGACCAGGCTGGCCTCAAACTCACAGAGATCCGCCTGCCTCTGCCTTCTGAGTGCTAGGATTAAAGGCGTGCGCCACCACTACCCAGCAGATTTGACCCTCTTGATTTGCATGATTTTGGAGGGTTTTCTGGGTCAAGAGAGTAGCAAACCATCTTCACAGGTCACCTTAGGTCGCTCGTAGAAGAGGGACAATGTGGTTTTTATTTCATGTCTCCAGAATTTTAAAATATGTTAAATTTGTATTACCAAATTAAGTCATATTTTCTTTTATATTTTATAATACTGTCAGATAAATGTCCCATCTTAAATTCTAAAAGTGGTAGAGACTCTCTATCAGAACTACAAATTATAAGTTATTTGCCCTGTGGCTCAGGCTACCATCTTGAAATCTTTCCCAGTCCAGCAGTTACTGACACATGCAGAATGTCAAGTCTTCAGATCTTCCTCTGGCCCCTCTTCATTCAGTTTTATTTCATAGCAAACACAAAATTTGCTTCTTCACATTGACCCATTCCCTATTATTACTCAGTGTTTTTATTCAATCTTTGTCACGATGAAGATAATAGTTATATATATATAATAACAGAAGAATTTCAAACTAGCTTTCATGAATACCTTCTAAATATATTCCAAAATTCTCTAACCCTGTGCCTCACTGACTGACAGCTCCCTTGTGGGAAGTGACTGAGCCACACACCCTTCCCCTCCAAGACCCCAGTGGTGCTGGAATCTTGGATTTGGCACACAAAAACAAGTAAAACTATTAGGAAGGATTTTTCACTGTTTCTTCTTCTCTGTTTCTATTCTATACGTGGTGGCTTCCATTCTGTAAACCTAAAATAGGAACTCAAGATTCCCAAGTATTCTCAGAGTCTCCTGGACTAAGACTGATTAAAAGGTCACACTCAGGAAACAGACCTAGGGCCAACCCCGCCACACTTACTAGTACTGCACTGTACAACACAGAGCACCTTCTAACCTTCTTAGTGTGCCCGCTTCTACCTTTGGGATACTTGCAGCTGTCAACTCTCCCACCCACTGACTCCAGAGGATAACCGGAAGGATGGGCTCTGCATTATTTCATTTCCACCGGCATTTTCTCCTCAACTAACTTAACCTGGATGAAAACAGGCATGAGTCCATTGTCAACATATCTGACTTTGTCTAGCCCAGAGAATGCCGACTGGTAACACCTAAAAGTGGAGGAATCTGAAAGGGATATAGAAGTTACCCTTAATCTATTCATTCAAGATCCTACTCCTCCTCCACCCACAGTGAACTTCTTTCAATTTGTAAGACTTAAGACTCAAATTAGGATGAAACATGAAATTATGAAAATCATTATTATGGGAAGCCCTCCACCTTGTGGTTCACTAGCAGAATGCTCACAAACTAGTACATTAACAGGGCTCAGCTTGTAATGTAACTGAATGATCATTTTCCTTTCTTTTCTCTTTTGGAGCTAGAGTTTGGCTACAGTTTATGTTGACCTAGGACTCACTATGCAGCTAGCTTATACTCCCCTCAAACTTGCGACCCTTCTGCCTCACCTTGCTGAAGTGCCACATTACAGGTATGCACCACTATACCTAGCTGCAGTTCTTTTTAACTAGAAAAACTTATTAGAAATCATTTTAGCGCAATCTTATTTTTCAGAATGTGACAACACCAAGCTCCCGCACAGGTGGGGAAAGGTCCATACTCCCCATTCTCTCTGTCCATCACTTCACCCACATTTATTGAGGTTTGCCATAGCCTTTTAGGCACAAGGACTAAGGTACCTATAACCTATAATTTGTTAAAAATAGCCCCAGCATGCACATAGTCAGAGTTAGGTCGTCTCTAAGCCACAGGGACAATCTAAGAGAAAGACCACAGTTTGACCCCATAAGGTTGTAAGGTTGGCTTTAATGCCAACATCAGTTATGTCCCTTAGCAGCTGAGCAAAGCTGAACAAATCCTCAGTGCTTTTGATCCTTAGATAATAGGATGGATTTCAAAGATTGTTGTGAGAATTTAATCAAATAACTCAAATAAAGTGAATAACTCAATGCCTAGCATATGTATATACTTGACACAGCTTTTTCCCAGATTAACCTCTCTTCACATTGGAATAAAAATAAGTGTACTTGCTCATCGATGAGCAAAAGCTTTAAAACACACAGGACACTGCCAAGAGAAACTAAGCTAAGGTCAGGGTGGGAGAATACTCCAAGGGGCTCTGGCAAAGGTACAACAGAAACTCAATGGAGGGACAAGCTTTTCAACAATGGCACTAGAATAAAAGAGTGGTCAACTTCAACCCAAGCCACATGCTTTACACGAAGTTATTAACTCAAAACGTAAACAAGAAAGCCACAAGAGACATAAAAGCAGAAGAGAGGCTGGAGAGAAAGGGGAATAATGTGGGGAAAGGGAACAAGAGAGGGTGAATATGATAAAAACACATTATGTACATGTATGAAAGTGTCATAATGAAACCCACTGTACATAATTAATATATGTGAATAAAAACATTTAAAAAGGAAAGAATCTTCAGGGTCTTCAGGTAGGCAAACAGCTATTAAACTTGATTCAAAAATGTAAAACTCGCCGGGCAGTGGTGGTGCACGCCTTTAATCCCAGCACTTGGGAGGCAGAGGCAGGCGGATCTCTGTGAGTTCGAGGCCAGCCTGGTCTCCAAAGTACAAATTTAATAAATAAAAAAAAAAACTCGCCGG